CCCGATATTTAGTGAAAACTTCTATTAGTATTCGATTAATATTCTGCTCATTTGTGGCAAGTTAAGACCTTTCGTCATAGAAAGTATGCTGGAGAAACAGGGATTTCCAGAAAATAAAGTAATCAAGAGGCGTTGTGTAGCTCAAAACTACTAGATTATTGAAACAGGTACTCCCATTGGAAACTAGGTAAAGCGAAATTATTTGGCGGTAAATAAGATTGTACTTCGTCCCATTACTACTGTCGCAACAATACGATTTTAAAGCATGAAATAGATTACTCTATCTCTTATCTTTCCTTCGATTAACTAAGCTTAGAAGGAATATCTAATAATTTTTTGTTAAAAAAAGTAAATCCAGATGTATTAATATATCAAACATATTTTTTTATCTTGATAACAAAATGTCAAGGAATTGTATTTGGAGTTGTATATCTCCTTGTTACCAGTTAATTCACTCTTTTGCCTATTATCGCCAAAATAAAAGGAACTTAACGCCTCAATAACTTCGGTCACTGCTCTCTCAAATGGTAAAATTAATTTCATTCTGAGTATTGTACTCATCTATCAAATTGACAAATACAGGTTTTCGACACCGTCTCGATATGGGGACGTGAAACTACATAGAACTCTTTAAGCGAAAGATTCTAGCCTTATTTGTACTGCTAAAAGGCATATGGAGTAATTATTTCAAGGGGACCTTCCTTTTGGATAAAAGTGTGTGAAGAACAGATTCGTTGGTCGATCTCACCAAATAAGGACGGATGAATCTCGTTGTACTGCAGCCGTTTGGCTTTTATACGATATTCATGTTGACGCAGTCCACGAAACATCCTTTCTCGTTTCGGGTGAAAAGGTGCTGAGCTTTCGTCCATCATTTGATGGATATCATCAGAGCTGGGTGTCATTATTGTAAAAGTTTCACGTTAGCACTAAGGCAAGAACACTATCCGGTTCTATCTTACTTCTTATATAGACTCAATCGAGTCAAAAGATTAAAAATTAAAAACCTTGATAGATTGATATAGAGTGGTTTGGTTAATTTTCTTTCATACTGGTTCTGTTATCTTTGCTTGATTGTATGAGTATGTGTATTTGTGCGTGTTAGAGTCTATATGCAATATGGTTCCTAAATCACAGTTGTCAAAGGTTAAAGCTCAGGTTGTGAACCTCAAAACCTAATGACCCAAGAAAAAGTCTTTGATCGAGACTGCCTAGGTCCGTAAGCAAGTATGCTTGAAATAAGACTGGGGTTGCGTAATCTTACATGTCTAGTTTGGTTGATGAACTTACTCTAACAAGTTGTACGAATGTGAGTGAAATTAGAACCATCACTGAGCCGACAAATTGAGTCGCCTTCTTTTTGGCAGCGGCTCAACACTCG